AGGTCAAGCTGACCATCCACACGGGCTAAGGCCAACTCCAATGCTTGAACACAGGCTTGCATCGCGTCGAGCGCACTTTGAATCTAACCCAATGTCTCTTGGAGACCACTCAGCTCACGGAGCACCTTCTCATGCTCCTCCTTCGGTACCCCGACCACCACCGACTCTGCTCGATGAGCAAGGGAACCACCAGTTCCATGTGGAGCGACTCCTTCAGCGACGTCGTCGTCGTGGCCAATACCAGTATCTGGTGAAGTGGCGAGGGTACCCGGAGTCGGAGAACTCGTGGGAGTATAATATACCCCTTCGGCAGGACTGCCCTTACGCCGTGGATGTTTTTGAACATCGTGGCCAGGGTCGCCTTGCGAGCGAGAACGCTTCTAACCAATAGTGGTGGGAGGTGGCGTGTTGCTCCGCACCTTAGGGTCGTGACCCGTGGCTACAACGTAGCAGGAGCATAACGCGTACGTGTACGCAACTGGCCTCTGGCCTTGAGTTTGGCATACTCAAAGCGAAGCTTTCGTTCCAACCGAACGTCGGCCACATCGGCGCTGGCCCGCAGCGCTGGCACACTGCTAAGGTGTCGCTTGCGGTACACCCAACGGATGAACTCATTGTCCTCCTCCTCGGGAAGTTCGCCAGCGAACAACAAGATGGGCACGCCCTTAATCGGTCGAACCGAGACACCACGAGACAAGCTCTCAAGATGCGCGCGGTACTGACCTTGCGTGGTAAAGAATGGTTCGAGATATGCCTCATTTAGAGCCTAACGAACGGCTATATCTTCTGACGACATAGCCTCGGGGCCCATTGCCCATGTTGCGAGGCTACGGCCTTCCGTTTGACGGAGGCGTTGCTCCACGTCAGGTGTTGTAAACACGTAACCACTCTGGTTTTGGATCACCGTCTGGGTATGAGTGCGACGTAGAGCACGCTCCTCACGCTGGAAGGTTAACTCTTGTTGCTCGTCGAGCGGGTTTGTGATGATTTTCTCATCTGCATCTGTTGTATGATGCTTAGCCCTTGGCGCTGTGGTAACACCACGTCTAACGAACAGATTCGGTGCTGTTAGAGGTCGAGCCTCAGATACAGCGGAGTAGGACGATATCCCTTCATCTCCAGGGACACTGGTATCACTACCATAGTCCACATCCTCATAGATACTGAGGTAGGAGGAAAGAGTCCGAGACTCGTTGGGTGGCGATGCCATGGTGTTTCGTGTTTTGCCACCGTGAGGTTAAGCGCACACACATCGACCTCTTCGAGGAAAGAAACCGATTGACGTTTTTGGTAACGTCAGTCCGGTGGGGGAGGGTGTAACAGGGTTACACGTCGACTGGTAGTCGACGATAGGTGTGGTGCACACAAGAGAGGGGGGTACCCTATAAAGTAATTTTAGAACACAATGAGTGTATCAATTGTTGAAGACTGATGTCTGTCATCAATTGATTACGAGATCTTTAGAGAGGTTTTACTTTGAACCTTAGTGACTAGGTTAAGTACATTGTTCTATGGTGTTCTTTAGGTTTAAAGAAGAAATAAAAATTCAGTTCCCTTTTTGATCAACATAAGACACGTGCCTTGCGAGGCGTCTTGATCGGAAGAGCTAGCAACGCCTGTAAAGGTAGCTACTCTTGAGCACTCTGTGCTGTGATTCTCTTGAATCGTTTGGTCCCCCTGGAACAGGGACCGTAAGCTCTCTAAGCTTGTTGACTCTCTGAGTCGGGTTCGTAAAACTAAAGTTGCTCGTAAGAGCGTCAAGTCTTCCTCTGACTTTAGGAGCTGTGTAGCTCCGCTACACGAGACGTCACACATCTTCATCGCAAACGTGGGCTTACACGTTTCGGTCGTTTTCAGAACAGCCAGTTCCGTCTCGAGCGTACCGTCGCTCCTCCCGCGTTCTTTGCTGCCTCCACGGTTATAGTCACGGTCTTCGTTCGGCAGTAGCACTTGCTGCAGGGAAGCTGGCAAGAACGACACCATGCCGGGCTTCGTCATCATTGCTGTGACTCTGGAGGCAGGAGCTCCATGAACCGAAGCTGCTCCATTCGTGTCAACGGCAGCAAAAAACAGGAGATACGGGGCAACAGCGTTGGACAAGCTGGAATCCGTGAGCCACTCGAACAGGGACGTATGCAACAACAGCTTTTGCAGCCAGCGGGGTAGCAGAGTCAGGACGCCCCTTTTGCGGTGCACTTCGCCTCGAGTCCATTTCCACAGTATTAAACTCCACGAGTACACGAGCATGCACGAGGCATAGCAGCAAGTCCCAAAGGCCACTAGCGATCTCGTGCTGAAACATTCGGTCAAGAACACAGTGAGCGCACTGCTCAGGAGAACGCAATTGGCGACTCGTAATAGTTCCAGCGCAACATCTGCTCGGGACGAACAATCAGTGGACGTCCTCGTGAAGCGCAACTTAGACAGGAGCCATGTGGCTGGTACGAAGATGGCTACAAAAAGTATCGAAGCGTTGAGGAACGGTACGTGGCCGTCGAAACTTGGGACAAAAGTTGGCAGAAATGGCCGTACGTAACCGCTTACGAACGCAGCGTCGAACCAAAGGGATACGAAGATACTGACATAACTCAGCATAGAAGGAGCGAGAATAGCGCTAGCAGCTCGATACGTATTGGGCGGCCGAGACTTTGGCGCGAGACGGACGTTCGGGCGCAGATGTTTGGTCGAGGAGAGGACAGTGGCGACATTGGGGAACGGCGTTGAGGTACGACAGTGTTTGAGAGCCGTCCGTGACGTACCATAGTATCCCACAAAATTCGAGTCCTGTAGAAAAAGGAGGACCTGCTTCGAGCGATACTATCCTGTCACAACGAGTAAGCAGTCAAACCTGATGGCATCGTTTACCTCCTGAGACCAGCAGCCGCACACAGTCTGTCATTCTGTAAATTGGCGTCTTCCACAACTTTATACACCCAAGTGACGTCCATGCTGCCACTCTCGTTTGTCTAACTAACTCGATATGCTCTTCTGCCCCACCTTGACGAGATCAAATGGCTTGTAGCTTTCCCATCGATTGGTACGAAATTGGCTCAGTCTTGGTCTGCTACAGCCACAAGATAGATAGATCGATAGCATCTACACTATGCTCTGCGCGTGAGCTGTAAAATTGCTGTCTTGTGGTTCAAAAAGCCTCATTTGGTATGGCTGATGTCCTGGAGGCACCTTGAAAATGTGTGGTTCACATCTACACTTTCTGCATCGGAGCTTGTCCACGACACCGTTGTGTTGTAGCGTATGGCGAATGCGAAGCGCTCTCGCGCTGTGTGCATCTATCCTTCCATCGATTACTGTCGAAACGTGGTGCTCTATTGATACAAGCGTTGTGCCTTCAGTATGTCAAAAAAGAGATCGCATTGCATCGCCGGCGTACATGTGCCTTGTAAATAGTTCACAGCCGTCGCATTGTAGCCACTTGCTTAGCTCTTGCGCTTGTAAAACACCTTCACGATCTAATCTTTCGACTTCGAACAAGTGCTATGTCGAATATTGCGCCTGCAATACTTTGTCCTACTTTTGGTGCCTGCTTCGAACACTCGGAACCGGCGTGCGCACAAGAGAAATCTTGCAGATACATATTTCCTGTCCTTTGATGGACACAGCGCAATAGCAATGTGGACCTGGTCGATGTGAAGATACTCAGGTGTTGTCCTTTTGTAGTGGCAAACAGCACTTACGACTAAACGCGCCCTTGTCCTGTGCTGAACATCTCGCTGGGGTATCTTCCGGATGTGGTAGATCTACATTGGTCAAGCGCTTGCGTGGCCTGTTGAAGACATTGGGACGTGCTGAGTTTGCAATCAAGAGCATGCTTGTTTACATTTCCAGAAACTTGCGATCGCTGATGTATCATCTCAGCAGGTACGTCTCGTAGGCTTGTGACCGGATGTCCGTTTCCGTAATTGCTTTTACATTCTACGCTTACGACGCTCATCGTATTCTATGCTAGCGGAAGGAGTCTACAAGGAGAGAGACGTGTGGTCTCGTGGGGCATAGATCTGGTTCATCGCAAAAACAACAGACCATGCGTGTCTATTGTAATGCACTTCCCACGGTTTGTTTGGCGTCATCGAGCTGTGTATCGTGTTGCCGCTCGTCAGTACAGTTGCTGGTTACGGTAAGGCGAGTGCAGGGTTTAGTTTGTTCTGCGCCGACAGATAGCGTATCGTACTCTCGTAATCGTACTAGCAATTGTGGTTATGCGCTGATCACATACGCAATCTGCGACACGTCGGCTTCGAATGTAGCACCACTTGTCGAGGACACCGACACGGAACAGGGTTTTGAAATGATGGCTCGTTGGTCAATGTTCGACAAACCATTGCTGAGAATGGTGCACGAAAGTCTGATTATAACAAGCTGTGGATCGGCGCTTGACGCGTTGCAAAGTATAAATGCTGATACGTTGTAGGTGGTCCCTTACGCGTATGACCTTTCGACGTTTACCACGACATCAAGCGCTTCTTACGTGCATATCACATGGAATGCTGGCGCCCTGAGACGGTAAGATGTGTTGTGTAGTCCGACTCAACCAGTGCCCACATGCTGCTGATCAGCAATAAAACGAGCCGGCAGAGTCACATACCCGATCGAGTCCGTTGTGCGTCAACATCTGGATGCCGACGACTTCCTGCACCTGATCAGGCGCTACGATCGACTGTTCGGCAGCTTTCCACAAGTGCTGACGAGGATGTAGATGTTAGTGAGTCAACGAAGACGCCTCAAGTATGATCTAGGCACGGGGCCCCAGGGCCAAAGGTGTCTACTAAGATGTTTCAATTGCGGCTCACGTGAACAAGAAACAGCGAGGTCGGCTACTCAGATGTAATGCATGTGACGTATAGAATACCGCGTCATTCTCGAGGCGGCCAGCTCGTCGACACCAAATGTCGAGTCCACTGTCGTGACTGGATCGTTGGTGAACGCATACCCACCATCCATTCTCGACGCTAATTTGTAGTCGAGCAGTTGTAGACGACGCCATGTCATCGTCCGAGTTGGGCGACCTGCTACTCTGTCAATGGGAGCACTTGGCCGCATCTGCTGGTGCGTCGACTGCAAGCAAAAGGGGTACAACCAACTCGCGACTGAAGGCTTCTTGTGGTCCGTCAGGTGTACTACGCACTACTATTGACGACACAAGACGGCGTTGTGTCCCTGGATCGCTGGGTCTCGTTGTTCAGTTCAATCCAAGTCACATTGAGGTGGGTGTCATGCGTGTCGTTCATGCGTTGTAATCGTGACGATGGAGATAGTCAAAGGGTGTGCAACGTGCAGAGTAAACGACCAGTTGACCCGCAGCTCTTGAAAGCGTCGACGGATGAATCTGCTGTTACCCAAAAGACATTGGGGTTCAACTTCACCCTCGCCAAGTGAGTGCGACGACCAGTTTTTCGATCAGCCTTTGCTTTCCATTGTGACTGCTTGCCACTGTTCCTGCATGTAGGAAAGCAGAGTACCTATGTGGACTGCGTTTTAAGACACACGAGGACCAGCGCCTTCCTTCGGTCCAAGCGACTGGTATTGAAGAGCGGGGAGTAGAGCATTTCGTTCTTGTCAACGTAGCTCCGTTGGTACCCGAGAGCCTTTTTTATCGTTTCTCCAGCACACGACACTCACCTTTGCTAATTCTGCGTGAGTTGATGCAACAGGTCCGGGGCCACGTGTTGTTCGTGCTCGACATGGACCTCGTCAACCCGCAGAGCCTGACCAAAAAGTATATGCACTACGCTCTTGGGATCTCCCGAGCGATTCAACGCGAAGACTTTGCGCTCGGTGCGTGGGTAAACAGTCACTTAACCGTCTTGGTTTGCACTGATGTTCAAAGTCGTAAGCAGGGTTCAACAGCGCTGGAGCTTGGTCATCGGTGAATCACTTGCATCTGCACGGGTACTTCTTCCCTCAACGTGAAGACCGGACGAGTGCAAACTTTCCCGTTGCAAGTCAAACGAAAGAAGTGTTATTTCGTGTTGGCGGAACGCTGGTGAACCGCCTTCCAGACTGGGCAGCAACATGTTTCGTCATTGAGGCCGAGGACGCAGCTAACGATGGCGTCGAAGTTGCACAGATCGCGTGGACTCTGTTGGAGCTTCTGCAGTCTCGAGGAACTCCACATAACCTCCTTGTTGTAGACATGAAGGTGTTCATCTATCCGCGTCAACCACAGTGCGAAAATGGCACTGGTCTCTCGAGCAGCTACTCGAACACAATGTCAGCAGCACTTGTGGGACGGCTGCGCATCGCTGTGGCGGAGCTATCGGGACTTGTTGTTGTTGGAGATCGCGCAGATTACGAGAATCTCACCGAAGAGACGTTCAGCGCAATTCTGGACAGCGAAGTGTCGCTTTCAGCGGTGAGGTTCGCAATTGTCTCTACCACGCTACAGCCGAGTCTACTGATGATCGTTTCGGTTTTGTTATTGTGCGTTCCAGGCCGAAGAGGCTGCACTCGTAGCAACGTGGAAAGAAAACATACGATTGAGATGGTAGAAATTGTACGCGTCTCCTCCGATCGAGAGTCTGGTGGATGTAGCCGAGCGAAATGACACGCAACAAACGGTGGTTTCGCACCGGATTGGCGTTCTCATGAATCGTTCGTTTCACGCTACTACTACTACTACCATCATGGCAGCTTTGATAAGATGCGTCCTTTGCTTTCACGTTTGTACACGATTCAGCATCGATTCTGTACCTGTGTTTTTGCAATATCTCCACAAAGCGATTCGATCCAAAGCGATCACCGAGTTTGAAGAATGTTGCGTGCACCGATGCAGGCTTCGGGCTGGTAGTCAACCGATGTGGTCATGCGCAAGCTAGTGACTACGATCAGACAACCGCAACGATTATTGAGCATTATTGTAAGGTTTACGTTTTTCACTACATGCGAGAGACTGGAGCGTCAACATACCCACATCCTACTGCTATGCCGCCATTGCAATACTTGCAGGACAGCATTCATGCATCATAACGTGAAACTCCGAGCAGTCTGTGTGTCCCTGAGGATATATTAGTATCGTGCGGCTCCAAAGTCGTAACGGGATCGTCGTACACGTTGCTTAGCATGTTGTTTTGCTGGAGGTACTTGAACCTGATCATCTGCTTGACCGGGGGCCTTGCCATGACGGTTTGCACTCACGTTAGATTGACAAACAACTTCTTGGACAGTGTGTAGACCATTCGGGGCGGTGTACCGGGAACTAGCACCAAAGCCGTCGAATAATACTTGGCAAGAGTCTGCTCAATCTTGCGTCAATCGCCAGAAGAGGGGAAATCAAATGGTGGCAGAACTTCGACTAAGTCGATACTCACTTGGTAGTACGTACATTCTTGACCGTCTTGACTGTCGTCGGGATAGGAAGGTCACCACGCTGTGACACTCTGCAGATGACGATGACGACATGAGCTCATGGAGAGCGCAGGCGCTGAGGACCCATAGTGCACGAAGGATACGTGTACAGCCTCAACATCGACAAAGCTGGGCAATGTACGCATCAAAAGTCCGCCGTGGTCCAGCTTCGTTCACTCCCGCAGGTTTTCTGCTGCTGTAAATTACTGAGCTCTCGGTCAATGGCTTCTAAAGCTTCTAGGCCTCTGGACGGGATGGAGAGGAAACACTTGCTCGCAACAATAAGCGGGTTGGTGCAAGAAGCATTGTCAGGGTTGACTCGAATGAGTGTCGCTTGCGGACGACCGCAGCCCTCTATCACATCTGCAACGACCATTTCGGTTTCTCTCCGGACAGATGGAACCTAGCGCAACAAACATGTCAGAGTTGTCGGAGTCACGCTCTTATGCTCATTGTTTACCGTACGAACCCGTGTTCCGCAGCCTATTTCGAGCACGACCAGGTTCAGCAAAGGGTCTTCTTGAAGTATCTACAGTAGAGCGATGGACAGTAGTAAGTGAGCGATCAGCGGTAGGCAAACAAAAAACTACCGCAAACGTACGAGCTCCATCACTGATTCCCATGCAATGTAGCGGTTCTGCACAGCGACCAGAACATTGGCAAATGTCAATAACAGGCACAACCGAGTGACACAAAACGATAGCGTCCCATCCGTTGCACCTCTTCCGACACGTTTGCAATCCATTGGCGATCGCGGAACATCAGTACGTTTGGACGTCCTTTGCCCCCGCACTCAGGACAAGTCGTTGCCGCTGCGCCAGGCGCTCTCATCGTTGTCGCATCCAGATCAAAGCGGAAGTCGACAGGCAGCGTCCAGGTCGTTTTGCACGGCTCTCGAGCGCTGGTCTCGACATCACCTGCACACTGCCACGTCTCCACGTTGCCGTGCAGCTCATACACTTCGTTTGTTTCGAAATCTCGCGTCCAGTGCGAGTCCACCTGCAAATGCCGCCACATACCATCCACACGCATTCATCACAATGGAGCAGCATGATGACGACAAGCGACGCGAAGTGCGCACATTCGACGTGTAGACAAAGAAGGGGTCGTTCGTCACGGACTCGGACGTCACACCAGCTGGAAGAGCTCCACACTGGCTCAGTCGGTCAAAAGCGGCTCGAAACTTGGTTCGCTTTTCAACCAGATTGCTCGCTCGGTCAGTTCGGCCTTTTGTTCGAACAGCGTCTCTCCACTTGAGCAGAATCTCGTATCCTCGATGGTGTTTCGCATCTCGGTACGAATTCGTACAGCTGCCCCAAAAGCCATAGAAAAGGTCTTCGTCTTGCTCGAGCATGAACGGATCACAGAGATCGTGGTATTCCACGCCCATTTTGTCGTAAGCGTCCACTTTAGCAATGTCCCTAGCAGTGCCACAAGGTATCACGTTAGAGTGTCCGATGCTCATTGAAACCATAAACAGCTCAAAAGAGTCCGCACGCGTAAACGGGCAAAGACGAGTCGGCCGAAAATCCAGCGCCTGTTGCGATCAGTAGGAAGTCGGCTGCCACGATTTTTTCTGCGTAGTAGGGACATACGGCAGTGTCGATGTCAGGTTCACATGGACATTCCAACAGTGGAAGTTGAAAGGTATAACCCAAACGCGACTCTAGGCACCTCATGGAACAGGTGGCGCAATAGTGCGCACGTACCCGCTGCAGTGTGCCACGTCGCGTGTAAACTGCTCTTCTTGACAGCGGAAGCGGTTGGGAAGTCACCGGATGGCATATCGGTCGGATGTCGAATGGTTTGTACGGTACGCGGAAGTTTGAGTGGTCTTTCAGGGTCGTAAGTGGCGGTTTTTTAAGTCAGTGCATCTTTTTGTGTGGACGTATTATCATAAAGTCTGGTCGAATCGATCGAGTTTCGACGCTAATGTTGTGGATAGAGCGCAATTATCGCAATGCGAATTGAATGCTATCACGAGCGTACTCTGGTGGTACCGACTGATCGATTGTTGATCCACTCTCTCCAGCAGCAGGTGGTCGGACCTTTCCGTCACGGGTAACCCAACACTAGAAAGTTGTGGAGCTACAAAAGAGATTGGAGCCTTGTGACTACCGCCTTTGCTTTTCATCGTACATCTCCACAAGGATTGCAAATTCATCCCAGCCGACGTGTCATGCGCTAAGTAAAAAAGATGAACAGTATGTGATCCACCCGCAGTTGTCAAATGGAGCACGTTGTTCACTTGACCGCGCTACTTGCAGGAACGAGTCGTCTCTGTTGACTATAGTGTACATCACTAACCACTCTTTACTGGTTATCGTGTTGTACGACCACGTAGTGTCAACGAATCGAATGTCGCTGAATCGGTCTTCTATGACTTGATGGTGTGATGCCGATTGTTCACACTGATCGAAGACAAGCACAAGGTCCGGTCAACCGCGTCGAGTCGTTCATTGCAAATGATTGGAAGGCGACCACAAGCTCTCGACTGTAACGTCTGAACGGTTTAGACGGATAGAGACGACTACACGTGATTGAAAGCGTCAACGACAAATTGGCTGCTCTATTACTTTTCCACCACCTCTTGTCACTAAAAAGGTGGCGTGCCAACCGAACAGCGAAAGCTAATCGTCTGCATACGCTGCGTGCGTGTCTTCCATCTCATGCGACAAATGTTTCTTTGCAAGAAGTATTGCAATTACGGCAGCTGGATGCGCATCAAGAAGAAGCTGCATTTCTTTGCTTTCGACTGGTGAGATTGCATCGCACTCAGGAAAACACGACAAGCAAAGGGCACGGGAATGGAGTCCACGAAGCTGGTAGAGTATAACAATCGTCACAATGAAGCTGCCTGAGGTACAGTTAGTGATGATTGTGTTGTGGTTGGTCTGTTTATTCTCGCTGGACATGGTCAAAGATGGACGCAGCAGAGCTATCAACAGTCGACGAAACATACACACACAAGAGTAAGAAGGTGCCTTGATCCATCACGCACGTCGCTCAGCATGTTGTAGTTGATCATGCAACCATCTTGAGACAATCGGTCTCGCGCGCTACCACAAAGTACAGACGATCGCGGCATTGAGAAGGTCTGTATCATACCCCAAAGTTGTTTATTGCTTGTTGACACTCTGCACGGTGCAAAAACAGAAGCGATCGAAGGATCTAACGGCCGGTTTACCACCACCGACTCACTGGAAAAATGCCAACTCCTTCTTCAATAGCCGCAGCAATCGCCCAGCGACAAAGTCAATATATCTCGACGTGCTCCAAAGCGTATGTCTGTCGATTCGAAAGGTGTTCGTGCGGTCTGTTTCGAATCAGTTTGGTATTTCCGGTCATGGACCCAACACGTGCGCCTGAGGAGCGCACGCGAACGGCCCACGCGGCCGTTCAGGAGCAGCAAAGTCCACTGCAAATGTCCCATTGTCCAGTCGACGTCGCCGTGTTCCTGGGCGGGTCGTGCAACCCCACGACGTGGCGACGCGACATTGCAGTGCCGCTCTTGACCGCTAACCACGTGCGGTTCTTTGACCCGCAGGTCGACGAGTGGTCGCCCGAGCGCATTGCAATGGAGACGCGCGCAAAAGAACGCGCGGCACTTGTCCTGATTGTAGTCGACGGCCGCACGCGGTCGCTCGTGTCGATCCACGAGGCTGTCGAGTTCGTCTGTCGCGGCCGAAGCGTACGCCTCGTGATCGACGACGTGCCGAGCGGTCTCGTGATCGAAGGCGCAGTCGTGTCAACCGCCGAGTTGGCGGACCTCAATGGCGCGCGACAGTGTCTAAGGGACGTGGCGACCGAGCGACGCCACGTCAAACTGTTTCCGGACGTGGCCGCAGCGGTCGGCGCCTGTAGTTCAGAGCTCCTGCAACTGAACGAGCGGCGGCAACATCGTCGACAGTCTGGACGCTCAATGGCTACAAAGCCGCAGGAGGACGAGGAGGAAGAGAAGAACGAGGAGAAAGAGGCGCTGATAGCAGTAGACGGGACCCGATTTGGTGGGCCGCCTTGGACGGACCTTTTGCCGCGGCAGAGCTACACGGGCGGCTCGGTCTATTTGGGAGGCAACGTGGGCGCAACGTCGTGGCGAGAGGAGGTGGCCGTGCCCCTGCTGCGTCGAGCTGGAATCGCTGTCCACGTACCGGCTGTGGACTACTGGCAACTCGGGGTGCCGTCGGGAGCTAATACGCCTCGACGGCGATCTCGGACGGACTCCTTGCACGACGTGAAACAGCTTCGGGCGACATCGGCGTTGGTTCTGTTTGTCATTCCAAAGCACTTGCGCGCGATTGCGGCCATGACGGAAGCAGTGGCGCTCGTGCTGAGTCGCGACGCGGTCGTGCTCGTGGTAGAGCCTGTCGAGGAGGGCGACATGATCGAGGAGGGAGTGGCCCTCACGGGTCGCGAATTGCACGACTTGACACGCGCTCGAGCCTATCTGCGCGACATGGCCGAACGGAACAATGTCGCCGTGTTCCCGTCCGTCACAAACGCTGTCGACGCTATCATTGCGATGGTCGCGTAGTACGTGAACGGAAACGTCTTCAAGTCATCGACTCGGGAGTTCTACAGTGCACAACGGACGTTTGGTCCCCGAGTCGCATAATGAGTGACCGAGTGTATGGAAAGAGTATGTTTGATGGTGTTTCGTGGTGATGATGATGATGGTCTTGTCGGGGGTGGAGAAGAGCTCGTGCAGCAGTTCCAGGCGCAATGGGTAAACAGAGAGAGAGAGAGACACTCACTGTACACCGCTTCGCCTCGAATACGCGTTGGATTATTGACCCGACCGGACTCAAAGTGCCCCGATCCATGTGCTTGTGCCGACTTTGAACAGCCTGAAGGCAAACTGCGTTGCGTCCACGCGATCCGTAGCATGTTCCAACAGCGTAAGTCCATTGCGACGGTCAGACGACTGCCAAAGGTGTTGGCCCAAGTGGACAACGCTATGCATAAAAGTGGGAGCAAGCAGAACGCCACACCAACGTGCAAGAACTGTAGATTCGACGCAACGACACTTCACAGCCTGGTCGCCCACTACTCGGGCGAGAGGTAGACGTGCTCCATGCCATCCTCTTCGTAGCTGGACACAAGATGGTAGCGCCTGTCGTCGAGGCAGACCTCGCGGGCGCACACGCGCTCGTACACCAGCACGGACACCACGACGCACGCAACCAGAATTTGGCACAGCAACAGCTGGTGCACCCACATGGAGAAGAAGCCCAGCATGCCATACTCACACAGCGTCGTAGCAGCGTACGCAAACGCACTCGACGTGTTCGTGCACGCCTGCAAGGCTACAAACTCGTTCAGCAGGTCGTCCACGTGCTCCAGTTGGTCTCCAATCGGGTCCAAAAACTCCTTCTTCATGCGACGGCCAACGTCTCCTTGGCGCGACGCTCGGCGCTCCAACTCTTGCTGGATCGCAGCCGCTTTCCCTCCAGTCTCTCGAACACTGGCCACAGCATCGGCAAACGGCAGCGAAGCGTTCCCAGGGCATTCAATGTAGTAGCTGGCAACTGGCGTCGCGCCCACGAGCTCGAGCGTACTGTTCATCGGCGCCGCGCAAAAGTCCGCCACCATAACTGTCGAGGACAAGTAGGCGCCAACGAGCGTGTGCGAGATCGGCACGACGCTCAAGATCACGAGAATCGAGAGACGCAGGGGAGAGACCATGGCCCACCCGACAGACGCGATGGACAAGAAGCTCGCGAGCACGACAGCCAAGATCGCGCCGTTCGTCGAGGCCTCGAGCAGAAAGTAGCTCGCTTCCCAGTCGCTCGCCATGTCCGAAAAGTCCGTCGGCAGCATTGCGTCCGATTGGTTCCACAGGTCTTTCGACGCATGCACAAGTCGCAGTGCTTCAATGGACAGCTCAAACGCCGCAGCGGGTACCTCAGTCTCATTGAACGACGTGATCAAATTGTCAGCAGTGACCCGCAGTGCGTCACTCGCGTGCGAGCTCTGCTGCGTGAGCTCCCGAGCGTCGTGGAACAAGTCGCTGGCGTTCGTCATCGTCTCCAGTACGACACTGGCGCTGTACTTGACGTGAGCTTCTCCCAGGAGTCCGCCCAGGGCACTGAGGGCCAACACACTCAGCAGTGCGACTGCCACTAACTCTGTTGACGTCGTGTCTGCGGCATCCGAGCGACGTCTCCGACCTACAGCGACACAGACGCCACAGCCACAGCCACACACACAGACTCTCAGTACCCTATCGGTACAGCAAACGACACCGCCCGACCTCGAGACCGAGTGGATCGGCACCATACAAACAGCAAATGAGTGCGTTACGTACGCAAGTGGACGTGCAGTATCGTGCGCCGCACGACGAGGACGCAGAGGACAGCAAAGACGGCGACGCCAAAGCCGAGCGACCCGAGCAGGAGGTTCTCGAGGAACGAGCGGTAGGCGTCGGCGCGCAGGTCGAAGCGGTTCGAGGCGACGCCGAAGCGGCCGAGCGAGTGGAAGAAGGCCACTAGGTCACGCGCGACGTGGCGGCGGTAGTCCGGCGGCAGCAATAGGGACGAGTGGGGCATGACGACGAGACGCGTCGCACGGGACGTTTCGATCCAAAATGGGCACAAAAGAACGCCGAAAAAGAGAAGAAAAAACACACACACACATTGTGCAGTAAACTACGGTGTAAAAAACACGCGATGGACATCGTAGCCCATAATGGTACATAGAGCGAAACCGGGCAGACGACACACGGCGACAGGTGACGAGCAGTTGAGCAAAGATGCAATTTAGTTTTGTAAACATCGGTATGTGTGAATGACATATTGATATGCGTATTAGTGCAAGTCGAAGGTGACGTTGTGGGTATGACCGTACATGGTATCGAATGTGCCTGTAGCGGAGCTACACAGATCTTAAATTCAGAGGAATACTTAACGCTCTACGAGCAACTTTGCTTCAAAAAGCCCGACTCAGAGAGTCATCAATCCCAGAGAGCTTTCGGTCCCTGTTCCAGGGTACTAAACGATTCAAGAGAATCACAGCACATAGTGCTCTAAGAATAGCTAGCTTTTACAAAGTATTGCTAGATTCTTACCGATCTAAGACGCCTTAGGAAGGCACGTGTTTTAATCGATCACTATAAGGGACTGAACATTATTTCTTCTTTAATCGAAAGAACATCTCAGATGAACGTACTTGATCTTGACACTAATGCTCGAACTAATATCTCCTGATAGGTCCCGTACGTAATTCGGTGGCAGACTCTTGTCCGCCCCCCAAAACTGATAAAGTATTCTAATATCATCTTTAATGGGACTCCGTCTCTTGTGTAAACCACACACGTTGTGTAACCCCGTTACACTCTCCCCCACCAGACTGACATTATCGTGAAACGTCAATTAAGTTTTTTCCGAAGAGGACGGTGTGTGCGCTTAATCTCGCGGTTGATGAAAGCACCAAACCATGGCATCGTCACCCCATCAGTCTCGAAGTCTTTCGTCTTAATTCGACCTCGAGTACGAGGCGGACTATGGTAGCGATTTCCAATGTCCCATCCAAGAAGGGACACTGCCCAACTCATCTGTGCTTAAGGCAAAACCTCTTACAGCGTCAAAATTCTTCGCCGAACGTGACGAAGTTAATGCGACCTCGGCGCAGTAATATACACTCAATGTAAGCGGTTCAATCATCACCAACCCTCTCGATAACAACAGCAGTTGACTATCCAACAAGAACAGAGCGCTCGGCGCCATACGCATCTTGATACAACCCTTGAGAGTCGCCGTATTGATGCGTTTACTCCACCCAAGTGAAAGAACGTATACGCCAAATGGTAGGCCGTTCGTTGACATTGTGGGCTATTGGCACTGAACCCAAATCTCCTGAAGGGGTTGCGAGTCGACAGGCGCTTTGTGAGAAGCACCTTAGCCTTATTAGACGACTCAAAGTCAAAAGAAGTTGCGACTTTACACGCAAGCACGGGGTACAACAGTTGCCTCTATCAAAGGTATTTTCATCCTCCTATACGCCGGCAAATTACAAAAGGAAGAAGGCAATGCGCTTGTTCGCTGGGTGTATCGAAAATGATACCTCAGCAGTGTGGTAGTTTTAATAGCAAATTTCAATGTGGCAGCCGTTCGTCTAGACCGAATTTTTTTTGGAATGGCTACGTCAAGCTTAAGGTCAGAGTCAATTGCGAGCTCGCAACCGCTATGCTCCGACTGTGCCGGCAGTTGTGAGATTCGGTCAAGCGGGGCCGACAACCCACCTGCTTCCACCACTATTGGTGAGAAGCGTTTGTGATCGTAAAATGACCATTGCCGCGATGATCAAAAACGTCCCCGGCAAATGGGCTATCCTGCCGACGGAAACTTCAAACCCCCATGGTTTTCCCGACTTCGGGTACGCTCGCCACTTCACCAGATACTGGTACTGACCCTGACGAAAACGTCGTTTCAGGAATCTCACCACATAGGATTGGCGGTTCCCTTTCTCATCGAGCAGCGTCGATGGTTGTCGGTAGACCGAAGGACGAGCTTGAGAAGCTGGACCTTGAAGTAAGCTGTCTCCGCGAGGCCTTGGGTAAGACCCGGAGTGCGCTAGACGCGACGCAAGCTCGTCTTCCGACAGTAAAGTTGGGTCAAACACGAATCGATGTTTAACTTGAACTCCTGATTCGGAATCAGAAGCCGAGGCCAATGCCAAATGTTGCGGCGCAAGCGCTTTTAAGTTCACATGGGACGGGTATCTACATGGCTTAGGTAAGCCAACATAGAACACAGGATATGTGGGCAGTTTGCGCGGAAGGTTGAGAGTATACGCAAATCCCTTCTTCGTGACGACTGTGAAAGGTCCAATAAAGCGCAGACGCAACTTTGTCCTAAAGACGGCGGACACTACATTTGTAGGTAGATTTTAGCAATGAGTAGAACTTGGTCTTCGACCTCATAGTTTCCAGTACAACCTCTGCCTTTATCATCAGCTTGTTCCTTCTGCTTGTCTTGCCTATAAGTCAGTGCGTCACGCTCATGTCGAAAGACATTTATCGCGTTGCGAGAACCTCGCTTGCCTCTTTGTAAACAGTAGCAGGGCTGGTATAAGCACACCGATCAGCAACTATTCCCCCAATAAGCCCTGAACCACGCAGTGGCAGCGTTAATAGAACGCAATGATGTGTAATACCATTCACGTAGAACGGTGTGTAATATGCAGAGGCATGCACGGCGTTGTTGAACGCAAACTAAACGACCGGGAGAATCGAACTCCAACGCTTTGGCGCTTCAGCGCAAACACTGCGCAAGATGTCACCGATAATGCAAATTATCTGCTCGATTTGACCATCGTTCTGCGAAGAATTAACTGTGCACATATCCAATCGTGTGTCAAGCACCTTGAATATAGACTCTCGAAATTTCCATGTGAAACGAGGATCTCTATCAGAGACAATTACCAACGACAAACCGTGTTGTCAAAATACGCGATCGATAAACAGCGTAGCTGTACCTTTACCATTTATAGAGTCCGGCACCGCCGCTAAAGGAGTCGTATTTTCAAATGGTCAGCAAAGACCACAATGCCCGGATTGCCATGCGCATCCTTCAGCAAACCGAACAAGAATTCCATGCTAATGAACTTTTAAACACCTTGGGTACAGGCAAGCAGCTAGCGGCGCAGCCGCATGAGCTGAGGGATTCACCCCTTGACACGTTATACACGTACGCACATTAATGCTGACCCAATGATAGAATTTGGGCCACCAATAGCATTTGCTAACTAATCCATAGGTCTTCTCACGGCCAAGATGGCCACTCACCGCAGTATCATGCGCCTTATAGAAGATTTGATACTTTAATTATTCATCATGAGGAACAACGATGCGAGGAGTATCCTCAACATCCGTGCTATAACCCAACAGGCCTTTATCGATGGAATATTGATGCAGCCTTGCACGTAATCGTGCTGACAATTCGATGTCTGAGTCCTTAAACTTGTCGCTCCCAAGATCACGTAGCAGAGCTACACAGTAATCATCCTTAACATAAGCCGTAGGGATTAGGTCAGTGACGTACGACGACAGAGTTGTAACATGAGCAAGCACGTAGTCAGGCCTGCTTGACAACGCATAATCCAAAGAATTCTGCTTGCCCGGCTTATACTTCACCTCAAGGTTGTATTCGGCAAAGAAGGAAATTCAACGAGCCATTCTCTAAGAGAGGTGAGGCGAATGGGTCGCGGTGCGTAGTGACGCATGATCTGTATAGATCACAAACGGCCTCGAGCCAAGAAGATGAACTCTGAATTTGACGAGAGCATACTTCATTGCAAGTAGCTCTTTGTCATGAACAGGATAGTTCTTTTCTGCAGCCTTTAGCTGTCGGGACTCAAAAGCAATGACGCGTTCCCGTCCATCAATATATGTCTGTAAGATAGTGATGCCTATGGCAAAGTCCGATGCGTCACAGACGACACTAAACTATCGATCAGGATCAGGCAAAGCCAAGATTGGCGCATGAAGGAGACCCTACTTTACTGCTTATAAAGTATCATGCTCGGTGCTAATCCAGGACCATTCCACATCCTTATAAAGGATTTTGAATAATGGCCGAGCCATGTCTACGTAATTCGCACTGTACTTGTGTAATTAATTGGCAAGGCCAAGCCACTTACGTAAGTCCTTTTGGTTTATTAAAACTGGCCAATCAACCATGGCTTTTACCTGAGCGGAATCCGCTCGAATGCCTCGCTTACCAATAAAGCACCCTATAAAGGGAATCTCTTCTGCACCAAAGATGCTCTTAAATGCGTTCGAGTACAACTTATTCGTGCGCATGCACTCGAGCAACGCTCGTAAATGGTCAATGTGATTGTACACATCTGACCGACCGTTCATAGCACGACTATAGACAAAGATGGCATCAAATTATGTCTGTGCATGAACTAGATGAGGTCTAAACACTTGCTTCATAGACGATTGAATGTAGCCGGGGCATTTGATAACCCTTGCGGCATAATAAGCCACTCCTAGAGCATGCCGCTCGAGCTGATCCACGCTGTCAGCAGGATATCGCTCCCTGCATGGGCGGGTGGTAATAAACATCAACTTAGTCGAGCTCACGGTACATAGTACATTCCACCGTATTGTTCTAAAAAACATCCCTCCTTGGGATTGGTTTCTGATCCGGAATGGTAGACGCAACAAGCTTATTGTAAGCATGGATAATGCCCCACCTCATAATAGCCTTTATGACAGAGAATGTCGGTATGTAATTAGGAAATTTGCTCTCACATATTATTTCTGCCACGTGCTTTTCACGAAAGAAGATGTCAATGACTTCACACTGTTCCTTTGATAAAAACCACTGCCGTGTTACGCAATATTTAGTCCTAGAAACCAAGTCAATTTTATGAAGTACACCTCTATCGAAGGGAAAGATGAACGGTGGGTCATGACAAACTACGTCTTTATATATATTTAGCAAAGGATAGGAAAATCAAAAGATTCCTAAAAGATTGAGGATCTCTTACGCGCACTAAGTGTCGCTTTCGGGTCTTCAAGGACGGACTTGTCCAATAACGA